TATATATATATAATGTAAACAACATGATGTATAAAGCTTCTGCTTAAAATTAAATAACACCCACTGCAGTAAAAAATATAGCATTTTCCATCCGTTTTTGGGATACCTTTGGATTCATGACACACAGCAAAGATCTGATGTGTGGACAGGTGTCTATTTAAGAAGACAACTAGTTACCCAGATATGCACATTTTATGTAGTGATTTTTATTGCTTAGACGCAGTATAATTGAAATGATTGTGAAAGGAAAGGGATGTCAGGCCATTGTCATTAGTAATCCTTGAAAAAACTGATAAAAGATGTTGGATTGTAATACCTGCTGATTGTTGCTGTCAGACTGGTGAATGTTCCTGAATTTGGTTTAGTTTTTCTTGTAATTTTGTACATGCYTCTCCAAAAGGTGTGAAACAGTTAGTAAAAAGGCACAAAAAGCAACATAAGGGCAATAGTTGGCGAGGTCACTCTTGTAAATTAGATTTTTAATCTCAATCAATTTTTCTCCTGGTAAAAAAGGGATTATTATTAATAAAGAAAAAAGTGACTTAAACTTGTTTTATGTTAATGTGGTAAGTTGTATGTCAGGGTGTGGTGCAGTGGTAGGGCAGTTGTCTTGGGGTCAGAAAATTGCAGGTTTGATTCCCCACCTTCCCCATATGTTGCACTGTCCTTGAGCAAAACACCTTTTCTCTAAATGCTCCTCAGCAGTTTAAAAAGCTATTTGCTGTTTACTTGTGTGGATCTCACATGGTTGATGGGGCAAATTCTAAAAAAATCCATCATAGTATGAAAATATACCTTCTTTCAATTTTTTGCAGTCAGATCATAATTATTCTTTATACTTATGGTAATACAGCATTAGTTTGCTTACTTTTAGCAGTAAATATACTACAAACACTGCTTCATGAATAAATATTACATTTATTTAGGAACAAAGTGGTAAATAATGCGACATTTACTCTTGTTTGAAGTAAACAGAATTGTGCTAATGCTGTGTTATTGTTTAACCAATTACAAAAGTTAAAATCAAAGTTAACAAATGTGTTAAAACATTTAGCACATTTTATTAGTTGTGCCAATATTTTTTTTACCCAAAGTAATGGTATACATAGGAAATGTACATTTGACATATCACATTTTCAGTTTACCTTAATCACATAAAAACCATATGCAAATATTTTTTAAAATGTTAGTCAAAACAATGATGAAAAATACAGGCATATTTTAAATTTGTTTAAATTTGGTCTGAGTATGACTGTATGTCTGTCTCACTTATTAAAATTTGAATAAAACATTGCAAGTGTTTATTGACATATAGGTCTGTATTTCAATCGAGGCCCAGACTCTACTAGACCTCTAAAAATATACTGAGGTATCTGGTGCCGAACTGTCTAAGAGTTCTATGTTTTCTGCAAGTCTAAATTTAGAACATTCTTAAATCAGAGTTATATTTATTTATACTCAATTACAAACTTAAATTTTAAATGCATTTTCAATTCATCAAAATGCATTTTACAAAAGACATCAAAATTTGAGTTTTTCTTTACCTTTCCTGTTGTCATTGGGTCAAGAAAATTATAGTAAAAAATGCTGAATACAGTACATTTAAAATGGAAAATCAAACTCTAACATATCAGGTTGTCAGTGTTTTACTTCTAGCTGGGACATCAGAGATTAAAGATGAGTGTCTCCACTGACAGCTGAGATTAAACATCAGGACAGGTCTGATGGTTTGGTCTCTGAGACCATAG